ACAGAAAACTATTAAACAAACAACAGTACAGTGGTACCTGCCAGACTGATGTGTGGGTACCTGCTTTTCCTTGATGTTCTAGAGTAGAGCTGCACTGTCTAAAATTTTTGTCAGCAGCCTCATGGATCTATGGAGTACTTGAAATGTGCTGGTGTGACAGGCAGAGTTGCCAAACTCAGTAAATAAAGTTGAGGATGCCTCCTCCATCAGTGTGGGCTACGCACAGTGACTTTCTTCCAGAATGGAAAGGGAGATAAAAGAGTAACTTTACAGTGGCAAAACCTGACATACTGCCCCAGAAGCCAGCCAAGGTTAACGTAGTGATACATCATGTTAATAGCACACCTAAGACACCTGAGGCCCTGGGGGGCCAGGGCTTAGAAGCTTCAAATTCCACAGCCACTCCTCTCCTCACTACTCTCACGTGGCTCCTGCAGAGAGTAGTGACAGTGCCCTAAGGGGCCTTTAGGAGGCTGATGGGACCACAGGACGTCTCTTGGAGGCCTGGAGAGGCATGTGAGGCCTTGGCATTTTCCACAGGTATGACAGCCGGGGTTGGTGCTTGAGACCTCTGGTCAGAGCTGGTAATGCTGCATAATGAATTGCCACAAATTTAGGAGTTTAAAAAAAAACAAATGTATTGGCCAGGTGCAGTGGCTCACACCTGTAATCCCAGCACTTTGGGAGGCCAAGGCAGGCATATCACCTGAGGTCGAGAGTTCAAGACTAGCCTGACCAACATGGAGAAATCCTGTCTCTACTAAAAATACAAAAACTTAGCCAGGCATGGTGGCACATGCCTGTAATTCCAGCTACTTGGGAGGCTGAGCAAGGGAGAATTGACCCAGGAGGCATAAGTTGCAGTGAGCCAATATTGCACCACTGCCCTTCAGCCTGGGTGACAAAGCAAGACTCCATCACAGAAAAAGAACAGCCTTGTTAAATTCCTCGCATGCATTGATGCACTTGCTGTAATATTTATTTCTGCTATTGTGAGGAATAAATAGCAGGGCTCCCAGGGCTGCCCTGCCTATTGCGAGACCTTTTTTTGTCTTCCTAAGTGTGAGACTATTTTCCCTGCCTTTACCACATTGTCTGCCTCTCTGGCTGGTGTCATACCCCTTTAAGGAGAGTGAGCACGTTGGCTTTGGGATCTTGGTCTCCCCAGTTTGCCAGCAGGCGCCGACTTGACATGAGAAATAAATGTCAGTGGGAAAAATCTTTCTTTATTTTGAGATGGAGTCTTTCTCTGTTGCCAGGCTGGAGTGCAATGACACAATCCTGGCTCACTGCAACTTCTGCCTTCCAGGTTGAAGCGATTCTCCTGCCTCAGCTTCCAGTAGCTGGGACTACAGGCACGTGCCACCACGCCCAGCTAATTTTTGTATTTTTTAATAGAGATGGGGTTTCACCATGTTGGCCAGGATGGTATTGATCTCTTGACCTTGTGATCTGCCCACCTTATCCTCCCAAAATGCTGGGATTACAGGCATGAGCCACCGTGCCCAGCCAGGAAAAGTCTTTTTAAAGATGCACATGTATAGTAAAATGCATATCCCAACACACATGTTATTGCACCTGTTGATGTGTGTCTTAGGAAGCCTGAGGTAGGGAAGTTTGGTAGGTGGAAGTTACTTTCCATCTCCTTTTTCATAGCATGGCACATGAAACAGAAGATTTTTGCCTTTAGCACTTCACTGGGAGTGTCCTGTTTATTCCATGGTCATAGGTCGTTAGTACCAAATTTACTTGAAAACCAAATTTACTGTGAAATTATACAGAAAGAAAGAATGAGGAATCTTGGATAACGGGAAAGCAACCAGCCAGTTTTATAAAAACTAATTGGAAAAATATATCTTGTCTTAGTTGACTTACTCCTTTTTGCAGTGCTGGAGAGGGCCTTAAGTGTTCCTAGAAGGTTTAAGGAGCAGAATCAGCTCCCAAGGTGGTCAGCACAGTGACAAAAAAGGACAAAGGGCTCTGCCTGCCTCTGAGGGTCCTTCAGTCATGGCCAGCTCTGTCTAGGGGAGCAAAGACCCTGTCTGTCCTCAGCCTCCCATGGGGTTGGGAGAGCCGAGCATGGGCACTTGTTCTGGCTGGAAACGTAGCCTTCAAAACAAGGCTCCAGAGGCAGAGTTTGAGACCCAAACAGGAGAAAGAGACGGCCAATGTTGATGCTCTCAGAGCGGAGGGTCCCAAACTGTCTGATTATAGGTGCAGTGTTGGGCCCTTACATACTTTTACAAAGTTATTTTGAGAGACACCGAAGTCAGTGAACCCACTTTCTCTTCCTCATTGGAGTTCTCTGGAAAAGAGTCAGGGACGGATGATCTGACGGGGCCACGGCCTGGCCAGTGTCCTTAAGAGGGAAAGCTGGATCAGCAGAGGGAACCTAAGCCCCAGCTGATCATACAGGCTACACTAGGCCAGGATCTGTGGACACCAACAGCCTGCCCTAAAGCTCCAAAGTCAGACAGGCCTGGTCCGTCCTGGTCCTAGTTTGCTAGCCAGTCTCAGTCCCTGGAGTCATCTCTTGGAGAGCTGATGCAATCTTGTTTGTGAGATGAAGCAAATGGCATTGCTCCTATCCCCACCAGCCTGGTGTCAGGATGAAATTCAACATAGAAAGCACCCTCCCCCGCCCCCGTGGACCAAGAGGTGATGCTATTAGAGTTATATGGGTTTGTGATTTCCCCTTATTGTTTCCATTTCCTTTCTGAAACCCTGCAAGAGGCTTCCTGGGAAAGGAAGGGTCTTTCAGATGCCTGAGTGCAGCTGGGAATGGCTGTTCCCAGTTAGCCAGGCTGGTTGGGAGCTCAGGGTGAGTTGGCTGGGTTGTGGGTTTGAAACACCAGAGCCACTGAGGCATAGCTGGCCCACTGCCAAGTGCTGCAACCATCCTGCAAATGCCACCATTGCGGATACCTGGGAGACGTTTTAGCATTGACCAAAAGGGTTGTTAGGTCTTGTCCTGCTCAGGACGGGGCTCTGAAGAGTGATCTGTTGTCATATTCTAAGGACAGATCTGGGTCCTGTTCCTCCCAGGGACCCCAAACAGAATGCCCATGATAGGACCCCAGCCCATGGGCACAGCCCCTCTTGTTAGTATTAATTATGCACTTATGTGAAATGCACCCGCTCTTGAAGAGGGGGAAAGCCAGTGATTAAAACAGTTGAGGGCAGGTGACCAGGCTGTTTCAGACTCCATTAGGAAATGGCTCCGAGGGGGTTACTTTAGAGCAAGGGAAAGGTCTCCCTGTTGGAGGGGCTCTGTGCCGGGCCAGCCCCTTACTTTAAATCCCGGCCTACCCAAGAGGTGGCTCTGAAGTAGGAACTGCTACTTAATCTTCAGGGATCAGCACAAAATGAAAATTAATAATTTTCAGAAATTAAGATTAAAATGGGCTGGGTGCAGTGGCTTACATCTGTATTCCCATCACTTTGGGAGGCTGAGGCAGGTGGATCACGAGGTCAGGAGTTTTGAGACCAGCCTGCCAACATGGTGAAACCCCAACTCTACTGAAAATACAAAACTTAGGTGGGCATGGTGGTGGGTGCCTGTAATCCCAGCTTCTAAGGAGGTTGAGGCAGGAGAATCACTTGAACCCGGAAGGTGGAGGTTACAGTGAGCCAAGATCACGCTGTTGCACTCTAGCCTGGGTGACAGTAAGAGACTATGTCTCAAAAAAAAGAAAGAAAGAAAAAAAAAAGATTAAAGCAACAGAGCATTCAAGCAAGCGTTAGGGACCCTTTTGAGCACAGGGCCCTGGCTGTGTAGTTTGTACACTGGCCCAGGTCTTGAGACAGGCAGGCAACTGGCCTGCACCATGTGGGTGAACTGAGTTACCCTGCCATTTGTGGGGGTTGATGGGATCTTTGCTAGGCCATTGGCCTAGGCAAGGCTGATGACATGAGTGGGGCTTACCCTGGTCTGGGCTGAATATGATACACTGGGACAAGTTGAAGGGAGGGGGATTGGAGCAGGGTGCTCCAGGGGACATCATCTGTGTACAACAGGAAGCCCTGGAGCTTGGACACATGAATTAATCATTTATCACAAGTTCAAAGCAAAACCCAGAAGACCAGGCAATGATGCATTGAAACTGTCACTACCCAAGTTAGCATTTTCCTGTATCATTAAAAATGTTTCATAGATAAGAGGTCTCACTGTATTGGCCAGGATGGTCTCAAGCTCTTGGTCTCAAGTGATCCTTCCACCTTGGCCACCCAAGGTTTTGGGATTATACGCATGAGACACTGCCCCTGGCCTTTGACACTGTTTTAAATTTTTGATATATCTATACCTGTTATGTTACTTCCATTAGAGAAAATTGACCTGGCCAGGTGAGGTGGCTCATGCCTGTAAGCCCAGTATTTTGGGAGGTCGAGGTGGGCAGATCACATGATGTTTCTCCTGTGAGAGTTTGAGACCAGTTTGGATAACATGGTGAAACTCCACCTGTACTAAAAACACACAAATTAGCCAGGCATGGTGATGTGGGTCTGTAATCCCAGCTACTCAGGAGACTGAAGCAGGAGAATCTCTTGAACCTATGAGATGGAGATTGCAATGAGCTGAGATTTTGCCACTGCACTTCTGCCTGGGCTACAGAACAAAACTCTGTCTCCCAAAAAAAACAACAACAAAAAAACGTTCAAAAGCAGATTTTTGTCATTGCACTAATCACTAACCATGGGCATACAAGGACAAATGAAAAGAGAGCAAAATAATTTATGCCTTGTTTTCTTTGCCTTTGACCTTCAGCCCCATGCATTCCTGCAAATCCCACAGCAAACATTTGAAGACCTTAACTTTTCTGTTTTAAGTGAGATTTCCAAGTGAATTTATGTTGTCTGGAAAGACAATCCCATCCCTTTACTGGAGAGCAATTGGTATTTGAAGAGAATGAGATCAGGTTGCTAAGGACAGCCTTGTTTGCAATTTTTGGATTATATAAATTATTGGTGAATAAGAAAAATAATTTTATTCTTTCTTTCAGATGGTAAACCAGAGGAGAGGTGTATTATGCATCTCTAAGTCCTTCAATTTCATCACCTGAACACGGGGCTATTAATTAGCACCGGGCAGATTGGAGGCTGAGGTGTGGGTTGACCCACAGCACCTATCATGGAATAAGCATTCAGGGCCTGTCAGTCACAGTCACAACACCTGTTAAGGTGTTGCGGGAACCCAGGTCTCCTGCTGCCCTTCTAATGAGACTGTGGGACATGATGCAGCCTTCTCAGCCCCAGGTAAGACTCCTTGAGCAGGGGAAGGCCCAAGACCCTGCTCAGCCTGCTGGGTGACCTTCAGCCCTGACACCTACCTGGTTCCTGCCATCTCAGCCGATAATCAGGTCCCAGTGGCTGCCTCCCAAATGCTCTGAGGACACCCTGCACTGTCCCTCTGGGAATCCCCATTACAATGAGACTTCAAGTCTTCTCCAGGAGGTGACATCTGCCTCCCCAGCCCTCAGACCTGGGCTGGCCTTGTGATGTTGTAGTAGAATTTGGTGAAGTGACTGAGCGAGTGCCAGTTCTAAGCCCAGGCCTTAAGAGGCCTCGCCACACTTCCTCCCTTGAACCCCTTACCAGCCTCATGAGAACCAACTCTGCTCGCCTTTGGGCTGGTGCCACCTGGGGTTGGAGGGAGCCTGGTTTTAGCTCAGGATGTCTGAGCAAAGCTGACAGCCAGCCCCCGAGCAGGTTAGAGAGCCCAGCCAAGGCCAGCAGATCCGCCTGCTCACCCTACAGATCTTGAACATGTGGAAGACCAGAATGCCCAGGTAACCCACAGCCTTGTGAGCAAGGACCAATGCTTGCTTGATGCCACTGAGTTTCGGAGCAGTTTTTTACCATCTTGAATCAAGATCTAATGGAGGCAGCCCCAACCTTCAACAACCTGCATCGCTCTTGGGGGACTCACATGCATGGGTGACCTGCGCCCTCTCAGATTCTTCATGCCCCATGCCACCCAGTCCTATACTCTGCTTCCATCTTGGGGTATGACAGGTGGCACCCCATAGCTGAGTCCTCGCAACAGTCTGCACACCCTGGGTCTTCTTCCTTTGTCCCCCAGGTGAGTCAAGCTGCCCTGACCTGTATCACTTGACCCGACCTCCTGAGGCCCCTGCACAGTCCTGCTTTCCCAGACCCCTACAGCAGGAGGCTACCTGGGGGCCCTTTGTGCTGTAGTGAGCTCTGACCTCTGTACAAAGGACACCCACCTGTTCAGATGGGCTGCAGGGAGCTGTGCCCAGAGACACTGGCACTGGCTGGCTGGTTCTTAGGGCATCACCCAGTCACTGGTTCTAGGGAGGCTGACCACATGCAGGGCTGGAAGCCTCTTCCCTGCCACCCACTGACCCACCATGTGCAACACTGTGACTACAGTGTGGGGTTGCAAGCTGTGAGGCTCACCAAGGGTGGCAGAAATATACAAACACATGAATGCACGTGCATGTATACACACATGCACACAGGCATACACACATGCATGCTCACATAAGGCATGCACACACAGGCATACACATGCACACATGCATACCGGCATGCACACAAGCACACATACAGGCATGCACACATACACAGGCATATATACGTGCAAATACAAGCATGTGCACACATGCAAGCACACATGCACATACAGGCATGCACACATACACAAATGCACAGGCCGACACGTGTGCATACAGGTCTGCACACATACACAGGCACACATGAGCACATACAGGCATGCACACACATAAAGGCATACACACACATGCACACTGCCTTTGGAACCTGCTCGTTTCCTCTGCCTTCCAGGGCACACAAGTGGCAAGTGTGATGCTGGGAGGATTCTGTCAGGCTACCTGGCAAACCGTGCCCCCGGGCTGGGGTCTACACTCTGTCTCTGCACCTGGTGGGTCCAGGGTTGGTCTCTTCTCTGTGCCCAGGGGGTTTCTCATACAGCAACTGAGAGTCTGCATGGCTGCACAGACCACGAGTGATAGCCCCTTCCAGGGATGCCTGTTCCTGGAGGACCCCGGGGCTCATGGCTGCCATCAGGGCTGCATTGGCACTCACATCCCCTGGCACCATAACTGCCCAGTCGCACTCAGGATAAGCCCTAGCTCCTCTCTTTTGGCTGAGATCCTGCATGCCCTGAGTCCCCCAGTCCTTCTGCCTCACCTCCTCCCTTCTCCCCACTCTGGCCACGCTGGCCTCCCTGATGCTGCTCCACATGCAAAGCTCGTTTCCACTTGGGGCTTCTGCCTGAAGTGCCTCTGCCCTCAGCGAGCAGCTTCTTATCCCTCAGATCTCAGCTGGGAAGTCACCTCCTCCTAGAGGACTTCCCAGACCACCCCACCTAAAGAAGCCCCACACTCCACAAAGGCCCTGCTTGCTCTCACAGTCTTTCCCACACGTGGAAATAGTCATGTTGGATGTTATTTTGCTTATGTATGTCTTATTGCTTAATGCCTGTCTCCCCGAGGGGTGACAGCTGGGCCATCTTGCTTCCTGATGGATCCCTCGTGCCTAGAATCACACCTGGGATCAGCAGGTGCTCAGTGATGGCTTCTTTTTGAGACCAAGTCCCACTCTGTTGCCTAGGCTGAAGTATAATGGTGCGATCTCGGCTCACTGCAACCTCTGCCTCCCGGGTTCAGTCAATTCTCCTGCCTGAGCCTCCCAAGTACCTGGGATTACAGGCGCCCACCACCACACCCAGCTAATTTTGTTTAGTTGAGATGGGATTTCACCATGTTGGCCAGGCTTACTCCTGACCTCAGATGATTTACCCATCTTGGCCTCCCAGAGTGCTGGGATTACAGGCATGAGCCACTATGCCCAGCCAGGGATGATTTGTTGAGTGGCTGGGTCACCACTGCCCACATCCCCTCACACACTCTGCAGGCTGAGGTTTCTGAAGGGCCTGGGGAGAGGCTTGGAGAGGCTCCCAGTGAGGGCCAACTCCTGGCCATCCCACAGCACCACGTGGTGCAGGACACAGGTCCCATGAGCTTGCTCATATGTGGTCTGCAGGACAAGCTCTCTGGGAAATGTGCTGAGCTGGCAGAGAATGATGGCACCACAGGGGAACCTGACCCACACTTCTGCCTGGGATGAGAAAGGAGAGAAGCTTGCAGCAGAGGAGAAAGGGAGTATTTATGGATCATTTATAGTTTTCTCCATGGTGACATAACATCAGGGAATCAAAAAGGCAAATGCTCCCTAAGGATGAGCAGATAACATAAAGGAGGGGAGTGGGCTGGAGACAGCACAGAACAGCTACTTCTCATCTCCGTGGTCAAGCTGTGTGGCTCTGGGCACATTTCCAACCTCTGAGCCTCACTTTCCTAGACAATGAAGGCAAGAAAATGTCAGTCTCTGCAAGATAATACAAACTGCACTCAGCCCAGGGCTATATTGTAAAGAGGAGCTTGTAGGAGCCATGCAGTTAGTATTGGGATTTCTCAATCATGTAGTTAGCAAGTATATGCTCCCAAGCCAGTGCTGAGTGCATGAGTACAAAAATAGCCAAGACCTGGTCCTGGCCCTTATGGAGCTTCCAGGCTGACAGGGAGATAGTCACAAAACAGAAAATTATACGACAAGGATGGTCACAAGAGACATTCAAGGGAGAAAGGAACGCAGAGAAGCAAGCTTGGGGAGGAGGCAGGGAAGAGCATTCCAGGAAGATGGAAGAGCCTGTGCCTTTTCGCAGTCCCTACTGGTAGGTACCATAGTCTGCACTTGAGGGCACTGCAGGGGGACTGCTGGGGTGGGGTAGGAAGTTTGCTTGCTTTTTTTTTTTTTTTTTCTTAAGATGGAGTCTTGCTGTCATGCCCAGGCTGGAGTGCAGTGGCTCAGTCTTGGCTCACCACAACCTCCACCTCCCCAATTCAGGCAAATCTCCTGCCTCAGCCTCCTGAATAGCTGGGACTACAGGCGTGTGCCACCACACCTGGCTAATTTTTGTATTTTTAATAGAGACGGTTTCACCATGTTGGTAAGGGTGGTCTCGGTCTCTTGATCTTGTGATCCTCCCTCCTCAGCCTCCCAAAGTGCTGGGATTACAGGCATCTACATAGATTTTCAAATGGCTGCATTTATCATCCAAGGCTAGCTTAAGCACCACCTCCTCAGTGGAGCCTTCCCTGGCCAAATACACTCCCTGTTCACTCAGTCACTTCAGTACATTTTCTCCATATCTTACTACTATCTATTTGTGTCGTTTTGGGTAATCACAGTACACAATTGATGAGAGGAGGGATTAATCAGTTCCACTTTAGGTCACACCCCACCTTCTGAAATAGTACCTGGCACCTAGTAGATGTTCAATAAATCATGCAAAAGGAAGAAGGGATGGATAAAGACACCAGCTGATAATCTACTCCAGCAAATTTTGTCCATTTCACAGCCTTGCCTGCCCTTCTTCCCAGGAATCAGGACATTAGGACAATTTCTTTTTTCTCCAAGTGCTGTCCCAGGAGCCCCCCACCGCCACCCCAGCATGCCCTTGGCCTGAGCTGTCCTCCACACACCTGCAGGAAGGAATGTTCCAGCTTCATAAAGTTGGTGAGACTGGCCTTAGCAGCTACCAGATGGGTGCTGATGTGAAAACGATGCTCCTCCATGCCCAACGCAAACCTCACCCTTGGAGTAGTGTAGCTGAATCAGGAAAACACACACACACACACACACACACACTAAATCTCATCAGGGCTCTGATGGAACATTTAAGCAGATGCTGGCTTTAAGCCATGAACTCTGCCTCCTGAAGCCCCAGGCCCAAGAGACCCACAGCTTTCTGGGCTGGAGGAACTGTTGAAGTAAGTGTTTGGAGACTCAGTTTAGGCCATCGGATGTGGTCATAGCCACTGTCTTCTCAGGTCCTCCCTGCTATAACACTGACTTGAAAATATCTACCAGCCTGGCTCTAGCAGGCAAGAACTCTAGTTGCAGTACTGTGGCAGACAGCAGGGGGCAGTATAGCAGAAAGGACAATGCTTGGGCTTGTGTCAGCATCAAACACACAGAGCTCCAAGGGTGGATGCACCACTGAGTGGTGAGTAATCTCCAGCTAGTTCCTTAACCACCTGAGCCTCAGCCTTCTAATTCAAAACACAGGGATAAAGACATCTATTTTATTTTGGGTCGCTATCAACATTGTGTGAAATAATGTGCTAACTTCCAGGTTGGCTGAACAGCAGATTCGCTAGGGGAAACTTACTAAAAACTACAGAGACGGAGTCTCTGAGAAGAGGTTCAAGAGCTGGTACTTTTTTTTTTTTTTTAATTGAGATGGGGTCTCACTCTGTCACCCAGGCTGGAGAGCAGTGGCACATTCTCGGCTCAAGGCAACCTCCACCTCCCAGGTTCAAGTGATTCTCCTGCCTCAGCCTCTCGAGTAGCTAATATTACAGACGTGTGCCACCAAGCCCGGCTAATTTTGGTATTTTTAGTAGAGGCGGGGGTTTCGCCATGTTGGCCAGGCTAGTCTTGAACTCCTGACCTCACTTGCTCTGCCCACCTCAGGGTCCCAAAAGTGCTGGGATTACAGGCTCGAGCCACCACATCTGGCCAAGAACTGGTACTTTTAATGGGCTCACCAGAGATGTGTCATTACATTAGTGATATCCCTGTCAGAAATGTTCAGCCTGAATCTTGTCTTCAGCAAACAATCTGACAAATCCACATTAGGAAAATGTTTTACACTTCACAATTATCAATGCAGGATTTTTGTTTTTTTTCGGAGACAGGGACAGGTTCTGGTCTGTCATCCAGCCTGGAGTGTGCAGTGGTGTGAACACAGCTCACTGTAGCCTCAACCTCCTGGGCTCAAGCAATTCTCCCCTACCTAAGCCTCCCAAGTAGCTGAGACTACAAGTAGGCACTGCTATGTGTGGCTAATGTTTTCATTTTTTGTAGAGACAGGGTCTCCCTAGGTTGCCCAGGTTGGTCTTGAACTCCTGAAGTCAAACAGTTCTCCCATCTTAGCCTCCCAAAGCATTGGGAGTACAAGTGTGAGCCACTGCATCTGGTTGGCATTTTTTTTAAAGGTGGTCAATGATAATAAAATGTTTAGGGGGAATCATTGATATCTGCAAACTTACTTTGAAACATATCCAAAACTAAGATGGATGGAGAGCTATGTGATTACACAAAATAAAATGTGAACAGGAAAATCTAGGTATGGGTGTTCAACTGTGAAATTTTATTAGTGTCTGAAAAATTGTCTAATAAAATGTTGGGGGGTGGGTGCTGGGCACAGTGACTCAAGCCTGTAATCCCAGCACTTTGGGAGCCCAAGGTGGGTGGATCACTTGAGGTCAAGAGTTTGAGACCAAGCCTGGCCACCGTGGTGAAACCCCATCTCTACTAAAAATGCTAAATTTAGCCAGGTGTGGTAGTGCATGCCTGTAATTCCAGCTACTTAGGAGGTTGCGGCAGTAGAATTGTTTGAACCCAGTGGGGGGGAGGTTGCAGTGAGTGGAGATTGCATCACTGCACTCCTGCCTGGGTAACAGAGAAACTCTGTATCAAAATAACTTAAAAAACATTGGTTAAGGAAAGGTAGGGTGTGGAAGGAGAATGTTCTAGATCAGGAGCTGGCTTTTGGGTCAAATGTGGCCCACAACCTGATTTTGTAAATAAAGTTTTATTGTAATTCAGCCGTGCCTATTCACTCACATGTCTATAGCTGCTTTTGTGTTACAATTGTAATTCAGCCGTGCCTATTCACTCACATGTCATCTATAGCTGCTTTTGTGTTACAATGACAATTCTGAGTAGCAATCATAAGGTCTGCAACCTCTACATTTCACTTTACAGTAAAAGTAGACCTCTGTTCTAGATTAAGAAAATTAGAAAGACATGGCAATTATGCACGCTGTGCTATCTTGGCCTGCATCCCAGATTTAAAACAAAACAACACAGTTTTTAAAAGAATGTTATTGGGAAAGCTGGGAAATTTTATATGGGCTGTACATTAAATGAAGGTACTCCAATGTTCAGTTTCCTGAATGCAGTAATTACTGTGTTAAATCAGAAAATATCCTTGTTACAGGAAAGAGGTGAAGTATTTCAGAGTAAAAGTGTGACATCTTTAGAAACATCTCTATATTCTTAATGATACAGAAAAAATGTATGTATGATAATACAAAATTTATGTAACAGATGAGAAATATGGATCCCACAGTAACTTTTATATAGGTTCAAATGACTCAACACAAAACTTGGGGAAAAACTAAGCAGCTCCCTGAACGGAGCCAGGTGTGGTGGTACCACCTGTAGTCCCAGCTACCCTGGAGGCTGAAGCAGGAGGATCACTTGTACCCCAGAGCTTGAGGCTGCAGTGAACTATGATATGTCACTACACTCCAGCCTGGGTGACAGAGCAAAACCCTGTCTCAAAAAGAAATTTTAAAAATGTAAGGCCGGGCATGGTGACTCACACCTGTAATCCCAACATTTTGGGAGGCTGAGGTGGTGGATTATTTGAGGTCAGGAGTTTGCAACCAGCTGGGTAAGATGGTGAAACCCCATCTCTACAAAAACAAAACAAAACAAAAATTAGCCAGGTGTGGTGATGCATGCCTGTAATCCCAGCTATTCAGGAGGCTGGGGCCGGAGAATCGTTTGAACCCAGTAGTCGGAGGTTGCCAGTGAGCCGAAATCATGCCACTGCTCTCCAGCCTGGGTGACAAAGGGAAACTGTCTCAATAAATAAATAAGGAAAGAAAGAATTTCCCTGAATGATTGTGCAGTTGTAGCGAAGTGCAGGGAACTCCAAAATCATGTGTAAATTCAGCAGAGAACCCTAGCACGTAGCATGTGCTCTGTAAAGAAATTCGGCCTGGGCCAGGACTAGGAGGGTGCCTAGCAAAACACGGTGGCTGGCCAGAAAACAAAATGACCAGTTGGCGATGTGACCATTCACACATGCACTCACCCTTTCATGCCCTGTTTTTTTACTGAGCATCTACTATGCACTGGGCCCTGTGCCAGGCACTAGGCATGCCCTGCAGGGAGCTCCAGATTTGGACATGGACAATGACAGCTCAGAGGGACAGAGGAACCTGGCCTAAGTCTAATGGGCCCTTCTGTCCACTCCCAGGAACCCCCAGTCCTTCCTGCAAAGCAGAAACAGGAGTGACACTGGCTCAAACGGCTGCGTCATCAGCTCCAGCCTCTACAAGTGCGCCAGGCACTGGGTGAGGAGGCCTCCCCCATCTCCCAAAGGGCTCGTGGGTCTGGCTGTGGGTCGGCCCAGGAATGTAAACCTGGGTATGTTTGGAAAAGCTGGAACAAGAGGTTTCCGAGGGTGGCCCACGTGGGCCTGCTTCAGGCTGGCGGACAGATGCACATGCGTTAACATGCCCCAGAGGGGCCTGGCCTCCTTCCACCTGGGGCAAGCATCTGGAACCAGTTAGGAGCCAGGTGGCTGGGGCAGAGTTACTTTAGCTGAGACTGAGGCTGAGCTGGGGCAGCAGCCCAGGAGGGAGGGGAAGAAATGCTGGCCTGAGAACAGCAGCTCTGCTAGAAGGAAGGAAAGATAGGGCTTGAAGCTGGCAAGATGCTGCCTTGTTCAGTGCCCCCAGGGCCAGGTTGAGACCAAGTCAACTTCCCCAAGGAGGGTCAGAGAGCCAGGATCACATCCCAATGCAGGGCTATTCCCACACCCTAAGACCCAAGGGCCATATGGTTTCCTGGCTAGGGCTGGACTCTGGAGCCAGGTGACCTGGGTTTGAATCCCAGCTTGGCCTCTACCTAGCTCTGGCACAATGGGCAAGCATCTCAGTTGCCCCTCTTCGAGTCTCAGTTTCCTCATTGGTATCAAGGGTTAAGCATGGCTTTGGGCTGCAAGTCTGCCATGAGCCCATCCATGAGCTTTCTTGGGTTTGTCCCATGGGAGCCCCAGCAGGGTCTGGACAGCAGGATTGTGACCCCTTGGCCGCCTCCCAGGGCTCCCCCTCACATAGCTCCCCTCCCCTCAGTCGTTCAGGCCAGGGTGGGAATCATGTTTGTGTTTCCTTTTCTTTTTCTTTTTCCTAGGGTCTTTCTTTGTCACCCAGGTTGGAGTGTAGTGGTATGATCTCTGCTCACTGCAGCCTCTACCTCCCAGGCTCAAGTGATCCTCCTGCCTCAGCCTCCCAGCTGGGACTACAACAAGCATCACCACACCTGGCTAATTTTTAAGACTTTTTGTAGAGATGGGGGTCTCACTATGTTGCCCAGAATGGTCTCAATGCTGCTGGAGCTCCTGGGCTTAAGCAATCCTCCCACATCGACCTCCCAAAGCACTGGGGTTACAGGTATGAGCCACTGTGCCAGGTCAGTGTAACCCCAGCACCCTGCACCCTCCTGTCGGGTTCCTCTCCACCCCCGGGTCTCAGCCTTGGCACAGCTGATGTCTTGGCTTATGGCCTCGCGGTCATGGGTGTGTCCTGTGCCCTGTAAGATACTTAGCAGCATCCGTGTCCTCTGTACACTGACCCTCATAGCGTCCTCCTCCCCAGTATAGCAACCAGAAACTCCCTAGACATGTCAAAAGTCCCTGGGGGTGTGGGAGAGTCGCCTCTTAAGTGAGAGCCACTGGTTTACCCCTTCAACAAGTGGCTTACTCACTCCCTAGCTGCTGAGATCTGAACATGGCTGGTGGCACCTGATGTAGCACATGCATGAGAACACCAAGCACCTCACTAGGCCCCCAGCCCTAAGGGCAGTAATCACTATTAAGTGTCTAGAGCCTGGGACGCATATAGTTTCTGAGACCAAGAACTCATCCGTGCTCTGCCAAGAGAGGTTGAGAGATTTTTATAGCTAGGTGACCTTGGAAAAGTCACTTGTTCTCTCTGAGCCTCCCTGCCCACATCGGTGCAGTGGGGCTGAGCAGAGGATTGAGAGGTGGTGTGTCCAGCCTCGGTGAACAGTAGGTGCCCAGCAAATGGTTCCTCCCCCTGACTCCTCTTTTCCTGGTAGGTGGGGGCCTCACCTGACTGCCTGGTTCTGGCCATGGACATCAATGACCAAGCTGGCCTGAGAATCACAGGTTGGCAGCAGCAAGGAGCTCATCTCTTCTGCTGCCCAGACTCCTAGTAACAAAAGCTGAAGAGGGAGCAGACTTTGAGGTGTGCAGGTAGAGAGGATCCTCACAGGCCAGGTGGGGACCCCAGCCAAGCTCTATAGCCCAGCACATCCCTGTCCCCAAGTCCCGCAGGCCTGGCTCATTGAACACTCATGGGTGCTGAGGATGCAAGGGTCGGCCCCTATTGCAGCTCAGGATGTCAATGCTCACTGAAAGGACAGCTGCAGCCCAGACATAGGCTGAGAACATGCTCCCCATCACCTGGCCTCGAGTCCAGGATAGAGTGTGGATGAAGTCAGGGGCATGGGGTATCCAGTCCACTCAGCTGTGTGGTACAGAGCTGAGATTCTTTGCAGGAGAGGTGACATCCTGGCCCCCTGAGCTTCCAGGAGCCACCCCCTCCTCCCACCGCAGAGTGGACTAGGGCAGGTGTTGCTGGGTAATCTGAAACAGGAGTGTGTATGTGAAAGAAGCATCGCAGCCTGCTCTGGAACACACTCCGTGGCTCTTGGAGAAGGAGGGCCAGACAGGCAGGGTGAGTTCATGCCTGGCCACAGCATAGCCCCATGAGGAAGGATCTCGGTGCCAAGTCTGAGGCCCTATTTTGCTGCTTGCTTGCTAGGTGAGCTTGGGCAAGTCACCCACACTTTTGCCTGTGACCCAGATACGATGGTGGTGACGATGATAATGGTCACTGTCACACCATCAGCATCACCTTTTTCATCTTTATCACAAGTGCTTCTTAAGCATCTACTCAGGCATTCGTGAGATTAACTCACTCAATCCTCACAACCTCCCCGTTATAGGTAGTATCATCATTCCCATTTTGCAGATTAAGAGATGAGGGCACAGAGAGGTGAAGGAATTTTCCCAGGGCTACACAGCTGGCAAGCAGCAGAGGCAGGATTCAAACACTGGAAAAAGCTTGGTAAGGAAGGGGTCATCCTGCCTCTCTCTGGGATATTGGGAGGATGAAACTAACAAATGCCCATGAACCCTTCAAAGGGGGCTGGCACGGGGCAGGCACTGGACAAGCAGGAGCGACCCAAGACGGCAGGGCAGAAAGACAGGTCAGAAGCTGGACGCTAATCCAGGGCGCCCGTCCATATCAGCCCTGCGAGTGGGAAGGCAGACTGCTCAGCAAACCTGGTTACAGTGATTACAAATGAAGCCTTTGTAAACTGTAAAGTGCTGGGGAAACCCAAGGCCTGGCCCTCCCCATCTGCCCTGCACACAGCGGGTCCTCTGCACCCCAGAAATTGGACACGGGACAATTAGAGGGAGGTCTTCCCTATCCACTCCTTACCTGGCTGGAGAAGGGCAGGCCCAGCCTCTGAAGAGCAGGCACTGTGTGGCTGGCATTGGTCACCATCTGCAGTGGGCCATGCAGTGGCCAAGCCACCAGGGCTGCCAGGTCCACACTGACCCCACCATCCCTGCCACGGAGGGCCACATTGGCCTGGGTTTGGGACTACAGAGACAGAAAATGTCATAGGCTAACTGAAGACAGGTTCACCTCCCTTCCCAGCCTAGACCAGACTTCGGGAGGGGACGTGCATGCCCTGTGGGGCTCAAACAACACCAGCGGGAAAGGAAAAGGCTCCCATGGGGTGCTGGGTGGGGTCAACCCCTTTTGTGCCTTTTTGACATAATCTGTCATCATTTGTCCCTGAGGATCTAGGCCTGGGTGACTCCTTTCATTGAAGTTGAAGTTGAAATGACACCTTTAAGAAGCCTCCCCTGACTACCCCTCTGAAGTCCCTCCCAATTCTTTGCTGCTAGGCATTCTCCATCCATCTCCCTGGAGTGGGGTTCCTAGCACAACCTGAAATGACCTCACTTACTAGGTTCCTGCTCCTCTACTGCCACTCCATGAGAATGCCAGCCCCCTGGGGGTGGGGTTTTTCTTAGGACAGCTTCTGACACACAACAGGGGATCAAGTGAGTACTTTCCGAATGACTGAGGGAGGATGCTTCTCTGTAGGGATTCTTGGGGATTCTCTGAGCAGCCTGCAGATGAATCAGCAGTCTGCTCTTGATAAATGGCCACTGTGACCTGATGCCCACCTGGCCCTGGCTGGAGGATCCCATCCCTCCCATCACCCCTCCCAGCACAGAAGAGGAGAGTGGCTCACAATAGGAGTTTCTTTTTTGACTTAAATTCACTTTGCTACACATAGAAACCAGCGGGTCCAGGAGCCCCCAAGCAAACAGATGGCACCTACTCTAGGTCAGACGCCAGGTTCCCGTGGGGTGCAGCTCATGGCTCAGGCCCAAGTGACACTCAGCCAGGCTCCAGCACCTCCCATCTGGCCACCAGGTGGATAAGCCCCACAGCTCTGAGCCTCGACTACCTTATCTATAAGATGGGCACAGTCCACCCGCCTCAGGGGACAGCATCCAGAGTAAATGGGGTAACACATGGGAGAGGACCGCCTGTGGGGCATGCAGGAGGCTGGGGAAATGCTTCCTTATTCCACACTCAACCACATGTATCTACTATGTGCAGGGCAAGAAAAGGGACCCTGACTGTCAGAGATAACAAGAATGTTAACGATAGGCAGAAAGTGTCCCCGAAAGGGGGGACAGCAGACTGGACAGCAATGGGAGGAGGGAGAGGTCACTCCTGGCTGGGGGTGGCCACACCAGGCATCCTGGGCCGGGAACTAGAGTGGCGTTAAAGTGTTCATCCAGAATGGCCTCCCATCACTCCATCACTTGTCCCCAACAAATTCGGAGGTCAGCTCAGACTAGGGACAATTTCCTCATGTGACCCAGTCTTCCGTTCACCCCTCAGGAGGCTGAGGGCGAAAAATAAAGTTTTTGTTTATTTTTTTTGAGATGGAGTCTCACTCTCTCACCCAGGCTGGAGGTCAGTGGTGTGATCTTGCTTGCTACAATCTCCACCTCCCAGGTTCAAGTAGTTTTCATGTCTCAGCCTCCTGAGTAGCTAAGACTACAGGCATGCTCCACCATGCCCAGCTATTTTTTTTTTTTGAGTTTCACCATGTTGGCCAGGCCAGTCTCTTACTCCTGACCTCAAATGATCCACATGCCTCAGCCTCCCAAAGTGCTAGAATTACTTACAGCCATGAGCCATTGCACCAAGTCCCTAAAATAAAGTTCTAGGCCAACAGAAGATGGCCTAGGGGACTAGGGGAACCCAGGGGTCCTGAATGGTCAAGAGCCAGGTCTCTGCAATCTATATGGGGGTCAGAGGGTAGCTCTGGGTTCAATCCTTGCTCCATCATTATCAGCTGTGTGGCCTGGGCCAGGTGACTCAACCTCTCTGAGCCTCCATTTCTCATCTGCAAAATGGGAATGGCATTCCTAACCCTACTTCATATGCTCATTCACACACGTTTAACACCTCCTATGTGCCCTGCGGCAAAGCAGACAAAAATCCCTGCCCTCATGGAGCACACATTCTGATGATTCTAGTGTACAGAAAATGAGAAACAAAGGTATTTGGATGCTACATAGTGTTGTTCAAATGACTGAACTGGGGAGAGGGTGGGAGGAGATTGGGAGGTGGAAAAGAGGCCTCCCTGAGATGCCATTGGAAAAACACCTACCTAAGGGAGACAGGCAGGTGTGTGGGAGAGAGGCATTCCAGGTGGCAGGATCAGCCCATGCCAAGGTTCTGGGGCAGCAGCAAACCTGGTGTGTTAAAGAATAGAAAGGAATGGAACAGGTGGGGTTGGGGCCTGGGAGACGAGGTGAGATGGGGGAAGGGTGCAGGTTCTGCCAGCTCGCAGGCCCCTCTAACAGCTGTGGCATTCCCCTGTGTGATGGGGACAGCTGCACTGTACTGAGCTCTCGTGTATACATAGCTTGCCTGGCGTGTAGGTAGTAAGTGCCCAGCCAATACTGGCTCCTCTTATTACTTTTATTTTCCCCCCATAATGGGCTGAACCATGGACCCCAAAAAGAGATAATGAAGTCCCACTTCCCTCACCCTCTGTCCTATGAATATGACCTTATTTAGAGGTGCAGTGGCTCACAACTCTCACCCCAGTGCTTTGGAAGGCCGAGTTAGGTGGATCACAAGGTCAGGAGTTTGAGGCCAGCCTGACCAACATGGTGAAACCCTTTCTCTACTAAAAATATGAAAATTAGCCAGGCATGGTGGTGCACACCTGTAATCCCAGCTACTCAGGAGGCTGAGGCAGGAGAATCACTTGAATATCGAAGTCAGAGGTTGCAGTGAGCCAAGATCACAGCACCGCACTCCAGCCTGGGTGACAGTGAGATTCTGTCTTAAATAAATATGTAAATAAGTAAGTAAATAAATAAATAAATGGCCTTTACAGATGGAATAAGTAAAAATAACGTCACATTCTAGACAGACGGGTGTTCAATCCACTGTGGATTGTTTTGTTTTATTTTGAGACAGGGTCTCATTCTGTCACCCAGGCTGGATCACAGTGTTGCAATCATAGCTCACTGCAGCCTCGACCTTCTGGCTCAAGAGCATCCCGAGTAGCTGGGACCACACACACGTGCCACTATATCCAGTTAAGATTCCTGTGCACACCAGCTAAGATTTCTGTGTTTTAAGCCATTCGGTGTGTGGGACTTGGTTGCAGAAGTTCTAGGAAAGTAATCCGCCTGCCTTGGGAATGAGGCTATTCATGGGCAAGGCTGTCCTAGTTGTCTAGAGCCCAGAGCAACACTGGGCTTGATGGGGTGCCATCTGGGTCCAGGTCTGAGGCTGGCCCAGGCGTAGAAGAAGCTAGCTCCCCAGTCCCAGGGCTGTGTGCTGAGTGCCTTACCATGTATCTGCAGCTCTGTGAGCAGGGAGGCCTCGTCTGAGAATCCAGCTCACAACAAGTGCTCACTGTTATGCTGGCTCTGGCCAGAGAGCTCCAGGTGCCCATCACGGTAACAGCAGCTCACAGGGTAGTTGAGAGATGTGGGTCCCATCAGGATGTGTCCAGAATGCTCAAAGCCCAAGCGTTGTGAATGTCCGTGAAGACCTGGAATGCCACCAGGGAGATGCTGGGCTGCCCTGTGCAGAGAGCCAGCCAGCCCGGAGCAACCTGGCACTGGCTCCCACAAACCCTGGGGTTATCAGTGCCATCCGTGTCCCTTTGGTGGGAGGAACTCAGACCCTCTTGAAGGAGCAGGTTTGATGACCAACGCAGTTACTCCAGCTAATTACACGTGCACCAAGGAACCCACAGAGAAAATACAGAGAACCAGTCAGGAGGTGGGGCAGGCAGGGGAGAGGGGCCCTGGGGAGGATGGCTAGATAAAAACTTTGGGAAGAGAAAGATGTCCTGGCTGATGCAAAACAGGTTGGCAAACTGCAGCCTACACCTTTTGTTGTAAATAAAGTTTTATTGGAGCATAAACCTGCCTGTTTGTCACAGGTGTGTGAACCAGAGCAACTCCATCTTGAATAGGGATTGGTAAAATGAGTCTGAGACCTACTGGGCTGCATTCCCAGATGCATTCTAAGTCACAGGATGAGACAGAAGGTCACACAAGATACAGGTCATGGCCCAGCATGGTGGCTCACACCTCTAATCCCAGCATTTTGGGAGGCTGAGGTGGATGGATCCCTTGAGGTTAGGAGTTCAAGACAAGCCTGGCATTTCAACAAGGTGAAATGCCATCTCTACTAAAAGTACAAAAATAAATGACCTAGGCATGTTGGCACCTCCCGCTACTCAGGAGGCTGAGGTGGGAGGATTGCTTCAACTCGGGAGGTGGAGGTTGCAGTGAGTCGAGATTGCACCACTGCACTCCACCCTGGGGAACAGAGCAAGACTCTGTCTTCAAAAATAAAGAGAAATTCAGATGCAGGTGTAGAGTGCATTAGCACGAGCAGGGGTGCTGTGGTGGTGGAAAAGGTGATCAGGAAAGGCCTCTCTGTGAAGGTGATAGACATGAGGGTTGAGCCTGGGGACTCCTGGGAAGAACAGCCTGGGGACTCCTGGGGAGGAGCAGCCCGGGAGGGCTCTAGGTGTTGGTGCCATTTGTAGTCCTTTTGTTTTGCTTCGTTTTGTTTTTGAGACAAAGTCTTGCTCTGTCACCCAGGCTGGAGTGATGTGGCACAATCTTAGCTCACTGTAATCTCCACCACCCGGGTTCAAGCCACCTCGGCCTCCCAAAGAGCTGGGATGACAGGCGTGAGTCACTGTGCCTGGCCTATTCATCAACATGTTTAAATTCTTCTGAAAGCTGTGCTTTAGGAAGAGTGTTCTGACAGCCATTGAAAATAAATGACAAAATGGCAGGACAACGATCACATCAGTGACTGGGTGGCTATGGACATCTGCTGGCCAGCAGCAGGGAAGCCACTCAGACCCTGGATTCTACCTCTGCAGCCTGTCTGCACATGAATCCTCCTCCCCACATCAGTAGAAGCTGGAACTCTCAGAGCAGCAGACCTCATCAGCCGCTGCGACCTTCAACAGAATGATGTGATTAATTCGTTCACACAGTAGGAACCCCTAGAGAACAGGATACAGAATGTGTGGGTTTTGATGAGCAGGGTGGTAAAATCTGGGAGGTGCCACCTACCTCACCTCCTGACCTCCACACTCTTTCCCCAGTCCTGCTCAGCATAGAGACTAGAGTGACATCACCAGAAAGGTAGACATTTGGAAGGACACCAGCGACACAGAGAAGAGGAGGCCGGAGGTCCGCAAGGCATCCAGCTCCTGGCCTTGGATACCCAGGACTCTCTCCAGAAAGGCTCCCTCCCAGCCATGGAACTTGATGGTCCTTGAGTTCCTGAGGATGGAGCTGGTGAGCAGGGCCCCCAAGTCCTGCCTCATTTGCTCTCCTGGGATTGGAGGGAAGAGAGAGATGAAGACACGGCTGGTTCAGAATGATCCCCTACACCCTGACAGTCACCCTGCAGCAAATCCCACTGATCTCACCAAGTGCATTCCAAAGCTGTCTGCCTCTGTGCATCTCTGACCCTCAGTCCATCTACCATAATCCTGTGCTTGGACTCCTGCAGGAGCTGACCCGGGACCACTGCCCCAGGGAGGCAGCTTCTGATGCCCGGAGAACAGAGGTTGCCCCTGAGCCCACCTGGGTATGGCGCCATCAGAAAGCCTACTTGGAGGTGGGTAATGCCTGAGTTACATCTTGTTTTCTCCCTTTTACATTTTTGGTGGAGTTGGGGAGGGGATCTCACTATGTTGCATAGGCTGGCCTCAAGCTCTTAGGCTCAAGTGATCCTCTGCCCCTGGACTCCTAAAGTGCTGGGATTACAGGCGTGAGCCACCGTGCCTGGCCATGGGTTTTCCTGAACCAAAGCATATTCCTGTCATGTTTAACAGAATTGTGCCCCAGCCCTGTACTTTCCTTGATTCACCCTCCTTTGAATAGCAAACCTCCCAAAAGCTGTAACAAACATGGAAGAGCCACTGGCCTGGTGGGCTGGGTGGTGGGAGGAAGGCTGGGGTTCCAGCAGTTGTTGGCATCCCCTTTCCCAGGATGTACACAAGGCCTCATGTACCTGTCCTTTTATCTCCTAGGTCAGCTCATCGACACTGCCTGGGTGAAAAAAGGACACCAGATCTTGTTTTCATTCATGTTCGAAGCCAACATTGCTGTCAGTGCATGCCCAAGCCACCGGTAGCCTAGAAATATTTAGACCTGGTTTATTAACCATACACCTGCCAGACCCAACCCAGCCAAAACATGAAATCGACTGGGTGCAGTGACTCACACCTGTAATCTCAGCACTTTGGGAGGCCAAGGCAGGTGGATCTCCTGAGGTCAGCAGTTTGAGACCAGCCTGGCCAATGTGGTGAAACCCCATCTCTACTAAAAATATAAAAATGAGCCGGGCGTGGTGGTGCACACCTGTAATCCCAGCTACTCGGGAGGCTGAGGTGGGAGAATCATTTCAACACAGGAGGTGGAGGCTGCAGTGAGCCGAGATTGAACCACTGCACTCCAGCATGGGCAGAGCAATGAGACTCCATCTCAAAAAACAACAGTAACAACAACAAAGACACAAAATCAAACCCCCACCCTTTTTTTTTTTTTTTTTTTTTTTGAGATAGATTGGGACTTCCTGTGTTCAGGCTACAGTGCAGTGGTACAATTATAGCTCACTGCAGCCTCTTACTCCCAGGCTGAAGCCTCTCACCTCAACCTTGTGAGTAGCTGGGATTACAGGTGCATGCTACCATGCCCAACTAATATTTGTGTGTGTGTGTGGAGATGGGGTCTCACCATGTTGGCCAGGCTGGCCTCAAACTCTGGGATTCAAGTGATCCTCCCATCTCAGCCTTCCAAAGTACTGGGATTAGAGACCTGAGCCTCTGTTCCTGGCCAAAACCTAATTACACATTCATGAATGACTGAGGGCGTGAGCTTCTGTGTTTTTTAACAATGAAACAGATTATTTCTTTGGTATAACTTTGCTGGGGATGCTGTAACAAACAAGACAAATTTGTTGTCTCAGGCCATGGCTCATGTCTGTAATGCCTGTACTTTGATAGCATGAGAGATCTCTTGAGGTCAGGAGTTCGAGACCAGCCAGGCCAATAGGATGAAACCCTGTCTCTACTGAAAAAATACAAGTCCAGGAGTGGTGGCTCACACCTGTAATCCTAGAACTTTGGGAGGCTGAGGTAGGCAAATCATGAGGTCAGGAGTTTGAGACCAGCGTGGCCAACATGGTGAAACCCTGTCTCTACTAAAAATACAAAAATTAGCTGGGTGTGGTGGCACACGTCTGTAATCTTAGCTACTCAGGAGAATGAGGCAGGAGAACTGCTTGAACCCACAAGGTGGAAGCTGCAGTAAACTGAGATCGTACCACTTTACTCCAGACTGGGGGACAGAGCAAGAATCCATCTCAGAAGAAAAAAATACCGAGGCATGGTTGCATGTGCCTGTATTCCCAAGCTGCTCAGGAGGGTGAGGTGAAAGTATTGCTTGAGCCTGGGAGAATGAGGCATGCCACTGCACTCCAGCCTGGGCGACAGAGTGAGACTCTGTCTTAATAAATCAATAAATAAAATAAAAAGCTGTTGTCTCCCAGTTGGGAGTCTGGAAGTGTAAAGTCAGGTGTCTGCAGGCCGGGCTCTCTCTGGAGGCTCTGGGGAAAAATCTGTCCCAGGCTCTCTCCGGCTTAGGCATCCCTTGACTTATAGTGGCCATTGTCCTTCTATGCATGTCTGTCTCTGTGTGCAAATTTACTTTTCGGCAAGCACAGTGAGTGGCTCACACCTATAATTCCAGCACTTTGGGAGACCGAGGCAGGATTGCTTGAGCCCAGAAGTTCAAGACCAGCCTGGGAAACATAGTGAGATACCGTCTCTTCGTAAAATACAGAAAATTAGCTGGCATGGTGGAACACACCTGTAGTCCCAGCTACTCAGGAAGCTGAGGTGGGAGGATCACTTGAATCCAGGAGTTTGAGGCTGCATTGAGCTATGAACCCGCCAGCCTGGGTAACAGAAAAAGACTGTCTCAAGAAAAAAAATGTCTTATTCTTTCTTTTTCTTTCACTGGCAACAAATTTTCCTTTTAGTGAAACACCAGTTATATGGAATCAGGGCCCCACCTTCATGACGCATTTTAACTTGATGACCTCTGTAACGACCCAGTCTCCAGATAAGCTCATGACTGTAATCCCAGCACTTTGAAAAGCTGAGGTGGGAGGATCAATTGAGGCCAGGAGTTAAAGACCAGCCTGGGCAACATAGTGAGACTTCATCTCTACAAAAACAATAAAAAAAATTAGCTGGGTGTAGGGGTGTGTACCTGTAGTCCCAGCACCTTGGGAGACAGGAGCACAGAGCGAGCCCAGGAGGCCGAGGCTGCAGTCATCTGTGATTGTGCCACTGCACACCAGCTGGGAAATAGCAAGACCTAGTTTGTCTCAACAACAACAAAAAAAGGTTTGCTGATTCAATGTGGATGTGGAGAATTTTACACTGTTGGTGTGAGTGTAAATTAATTCAACCATTGTGGAAGACAGTGTGGTGATTCCTCTAGGACCTAGAAATTGAAATTCCATTTGACCCAGCAATCCCATTACTGGGTATATATCCAAAGGATTATAAATGTTTCTATTATAAGGACACATGCACACGAATGCTCATTTTTGCACTGTTTAAAATAGCAAAGTCTTGGAACCAACCCAAATGCCCATCGATGATAGACTGGACAGGGAAAATGTGGCACATACACACCATGGAATACTATGTAGCCATAAAAAATGATGTGTTTGTGTCCTTTGTAGGGACATGGATGAACCTGGAAACCATCATTCTCAGCAAACTGACACAAGAACAGGAAACCAAACATCTCATGTTCTCACTCATAGGGAGGTGTTGAACAATGAGAACACATGCACACAGGGAGGGAAGCATCACACTATGGGATCTGTTGGGGGTAACTAGGGGAGGGACAGCATGGGGAGAAATGTCAGATATAGGTGATGGGGAGGAAGGCAGCTAACCACATTGCTACATAGTACCTATGCAACAATTCTGCATGTTCTTCACATGTACCCCACATCCTAAAATGCAATTATATGTTTGTATATATATATGGAAATTTTCCTTTCTACCTCTTTCTCCAAAAAAAAAAAGAAAGAAAGAAAAAAAGAAAAAGAAAAATTGTGGTTATTAATCAGTTGGTAAGGAATAATGCTCTTGTTCACAAACTTCGGACCCTTTTTTTGCAGGCTAGAAATCACTCCAGTTAGTAAAATAATAACAGTAACAACAACAGCCAAAAGGGAAGAGTATTTAAAATGCAGGAGGTGCTGATCAAGGCGCATTCGTGGGTAACATTATTTAGCCTTGAGCATCATCTTAGGAGTACATCCTCATATGATTCCTACCTGACAGGTGGAAAAACTGAGGCACAGAGACCTACATCGTCTCAAAGTGGTATTAAGTTGTGGCACAGGTGTCACCTGACATTGTCTTGTGCACTATGCCTATCTAATTATTATTATTATTTTTGAGATGAAGTTTTCTTCTTGTCCATGCTATAGTGCAATCTCAGCTCACTACAACCTCTGCTTCCCAGGTAGAAGCAATTCTCCTGCCTCAGCCTCCCAAGTAGCTGGGATTACAGGCACACGCCATCATGCTTGGTTAATTTTGTATTTTTTGTAAAGATGGGGTTTCTACATGTCGGTCAGGCTGGTCTTGAACCCCTGGCCTCAGGTGATCCATTGACCTCAGCCTCCCAAAGTGCTGAGGATACAGGAATGAGCCACCACACTGGGTTTTGTTTTTTGTTAGTTTGTTTGTTTTTTGAGCTGGAGTCCTGCTCTGTCTCCCAGGCTGGAGTGCAATGGGATGATCTTGGCTCACTACAACCTCCACCTCCCAGGTCAGGGGATTCTCCTGCATCAGCTTTCCAAGAGATTGTAGGCACGTGGCACCATCCTGGACTAATTTTTTGTAGTTTTAGTGGAGTCAGGGTTTCACCATGTTGGCCAGGTTGGTCTTGAACTCCTGATTGTTGAGAACTGAATTCGAGCTGGGGAATCTCGTCCAGCGAGTGGGTCCCAAACCTGGAAGAAAGCGTGTGCCGGAAAAAAAGGAGATAGAAAAGAGTGAGGTCTGGAGGGCTACATCAGCTATGCCCATGCAGCAATTTTATTTCTGCAATGTGTTTCATTATATAATTTTCTGAAGTTAAAGTTGTTTACACCAGATTAACGTACTTAAGTTACAGTAAGCAAGTTACGCCCAGTAAGTAAGTTAATCTCAGTAAGTATTTTACTTCCAGTAAGTAGGTTACGCCCAATAGGTCAAGGTAAGTAAGTTACAGTCACGCCCTGTAATACAGGTCCAAAGTGAACACAATCAAGCAATAAACCATAAGAAGCCGAAAGTAGACACAATGCCTCCCAAGTACTCATATCCATAAAGTAATGTCTGTTAATTATTTAGAATAACATAGTCCCTCTCTTGGTTCCTGCTTTCCCTCAGCTCGACTCCCCCAACCGGGGATCTGTGTCCGGGCTCAAGCTCACCATATGGCGAGGCCCATTTCCCAGGGGCCTCATGTGGGAGCAATCCCCACAGATCCCTCACCTGACCTCAGGTGATCCACCTGCCTCAGCCTCCCAAAGTGCTGGGATTACAGGCATGAACCACCTCACCTGGTCACTATGCCTATCTCATTGTATTTCTAAAAGGAGAAAGAAAAGAAATAATTGTAGGGGAAAGATCCAAGATGGCAGTTTAGGAGCAGCTCAGGATTGCAGCTTCCAGTGAAAGCGCAGAGGGTGAGTGGGTGCCTCATTTTCAGACAGATCTTTATTGTCCACAGACCAGGAGATTCCCAGGTGAAGAAGCTTCACAGGTCGCCAGCACGGCTATTTTGGCTGGTGTGGCTGTTTTGCCAGCGCCTCATACAAAATATACTGGTCTGTTTGCCTTTTAAACTGGTGATTAGAGCTCTGGGAAGGCAGAGTCACCCATTCTTCTAATTAAACAGGGGACTGAAACAGGAGCCAGGCCAGGAGATTCTGGGGAAAAACAGCCCCACAAATCTCATAATTTTTGTTTCAACCAGTGCAGTGGGTCGCCACATGGGAAATCACACAAATTTTGGCACCTTTCCAGCAGGCAACTGGAACACCTGGGAGAGAGTCAACCATTCAACAAATAAAAATGGCTCTAAGGCAGGAAGCTATGTGATCAGGTTCAGTGGGTCCCACCACCCCCCCCCCCGCACCCACCACACACACAAAACAGCAATTCGAAACTTTCTGGGTTTAGAGTTTTGCAGCAAGCACAGCTGAACCCAGGATGGTCCAGCTCTGTAGTAAAGGGGCATCTGCTATTACCGAGGCACTCCACCCCTACAGAGGTAGTCCACCACTGCTAAGGCAGCCCGTCATTGCTGAGGCAACATGCCTTGCAAAGGCAATTTGCCATTACATAGGGAGTCCACAATTACAGAGGTGGGCCACCATTGCTGAGGCAGTTCTAACCACACCCACATAAACAGGACTGCAGGGAAGTTTCCATGGCAGCAGGGCAGAGCCCACAGCACCTCAGCAAAGCCTCTGCTGGCAGACAGTGACTAGGCTGCCTTCTTGCTGGACAGGGCAGCACTGAAAAAAAGAAGGCAGCAGCACAATGGAAACTCATAAATAAAGCCCTAACTCCCTGGGACAGAGCACCTGGGAAAAAAAGAAGGATGTTATGAATTCTGCTGCAGCAGACTTAAATGTACCTGCCCAGAAGCTCTGAATGAACGATGGAGCTCACAGCTCAGCACTTGAGCTCCTATGAAGAACAGACCGTCTCCTCAAGCAGCTCCCTGACCCCCGTATATCCTAAGAGTCACCTCACAAAGGACTGATTAGACTGACATTTGGTGGGCCTCACAAAGATAGCAGAAGAAGAAACTGGTAGCAACCCTTACTGTTATTCAGCTGCTGCAGGTGATCCCCAGGCAAGCAGGGCATTGAGTGGACCTCAGCAGTCCTACAGCAGAGGGGCCAGACTGTTAGAAGGAAAACTAAAAGACATTAGGAAATAACTTCATCATCAACAAACTGGACGTCCACTCAGAGATCCAATCTCAAAATCAGCAACTACAAAGATGACAGGTGGATAAATCCACAAAGATGGAAAGAAACCAGCACAAACAGGATGAAAACACCCAAAACCAGAACACCTCTCCTCCTACAAGGGATCACAACTCCTCACCAGCAAGGGAACAAGGCTGGACAAAGAATGAGTGTGATAAAATGACAGAATCAGACTTCAAAGGTAGGTAATAAGACACTTCTGTAAGCTGAAAGAACATGTTCTAACCCAATACAAAGAAACTAAGAATGCTGAAAAAATATCTGATGAAATGCTAATGAGAATGAGAAATATAAGTGAATTGAGGGAGCTGAAAAACGCAACACGAGAACTTCACGAAGCATGCACAAGTTTCAACAGCCGAATTGACCACGCAGA